AATTTCCAATCATTAGAGATAAGCAGACCAGTACCTCCATCTCTTCCAGTCAGACGGGGGGAGTGGGAAAAAGATAAATTATTGGAGAGTGCTGCAGGAGTAGCAGTGTCCTCTGGTTTTATTCAGGTCTCTGTCAGGGCCATGAGGTTTAGTCTTGAATGACTGTATGACTTGAATGACTATAATATAATTGACAAATTTTGCAGCAGTTATACTCTTATTGAACTGAATTGAGCTCAATCATGACACTGCCTTCTTCATATTTCATAACTGACTAACTTTGCAACATTGATACTGTTATTGAACTGAATCAACATAAGATGAATAATGACATATGTGAACCTGGACCACAAAACCAGTCTTAAGTTGCTGGGGTATATTTGTAGCAATAGCCAAAAATATATTGTATGGGTCAAAATTATTGATTTTTCTTTTATGCCAAAAATCATTGGGATATTAAGTAAAGATCATGTTCCATGAAGATATTTTGTAAATTTCCTACTGTAAATATATTAACACTTAATTTTTGATTAGTAATATGCATTGCTAAGGACTTCATTTGGACAACTTTAAAGGCGATTTTCTCAATATTTTGTTTTTTTTGCACCCTCAGATTGCAGATTTTCAAATAGTTGTATCTCGGCCAAATATTGTCCTATCCTATCCATACTAACCATACATCAATGGAAAGCTTATTTATTCAGCTTTCATCGTCTCAATTTCGAAAAATTGACCCTTATGACTGGTTTTGTGGTCCAGGGTCACATTTGAAAATCTGGAATCTGAGAGTGCAAAAAAAATCAAAATACTGAGAAAATCCCCTTTAAAGTTGTCCAAAAGAAGTTCTTAGCAATGCATATTACTAATAAAAAAATAAGTTTTAATATATTTACAGCAGGAAATTTACAAAATATCTTAATGGAACATGATCTTTACTTAATATCCTAATGATTTTTGGCATAAAAGAAAAATCGATAATTTTTACACATACAATGTTTTTTTTGGCTATTGCTACAAATATATCCCAGCGACTTAAGACTGGTTTTGCGGTCCAGGGTCACTTATTATTATGCTTTGGGCCAGTTGTTCCTGAGCCAAGTTACATAATTATTAACAATCACTGACTTTCTATGCATATATGCAACAAAAACAAAGAATATGTTCTTAGCTCCCATGGAAACCATTTGGATGTTAAGTTCCTTCAGAAGTTTCCTCTAAATATTTGTTAACCCCAAGACCACTCAAAGGGTTGAGACCTTAGAAATGTGTATAGAACTTGTTCAAAAAATATTCATAGCATAAATCTTCAGGCATACATCAGATTCCATAGAAAAAATGTTTTGAAAATAATAATAATATAACGAAATAAATAAATTTGTATTCTTTTTTTTAAATAGTAATAAAAATTATCATAAAACAGTGAAAACAGTAGTAATATTACTGTTAATAATAACCGAGAAAATTAGTCGTTATAACGAGAAAACTACTCCCGTTATGTCGAGATCACAAGAAAATTAAGTCGTTATAACAAGAAAACAACTCCCGTTATGTCGAGATCACGAGAAAATTAAGTCGTTATAACGAGAAAACAAGGAAAAAATATATATTGCATGGCTGCTTAGAACTTCCGTAAATTATACAATTTTTACCACAAATATTTTTTTTTCATATCTAGATTTTACAGAATAGCTTTTTTTTTTTAAATAATTATTTATTTAGAGGATTTAAAAAAAAAGAAGATAAAAACCTAATCTATGTGTGTATGCACAATCTATGTGTCCAATAATACACTGTATTTTTGTGAGCGTTGTGTTATAAGACCAACAGAGTTTCTTAAAATCCTCCATCAGTTTGCAATCCAATAACAGTGAGTTTTATAGGGAGACCTGCCCTCATAATTTGCACTACTGTCTCAGGTCAGCATCTGAAGAGCAACCATTAATCCGTAAATGGAAACACATTCAGGCCTGGCCTCGCTGGCTCAGAACATAATGGACTGTAATAATGAGATGAATGAGTGTCAGAGGACACAGATAATCTCTGCTGTTGCTGAGCCAGCTGGGACAACCAGGAGCAAAGTACAAACATTTGCACATTGATAAAAAATAAAAATAAAAAAAATAAAAAAGGCTATTGTTCAACTTTTATGTAGATGAGTTTGTCTCTTCATCAGAACAATTGGAGAAACTGAGCATTACATCAGTTGCTCACCAAAGGATCCTCTGCAG